ATTACGGTAGTTAGCAGCTGTTGAGTTTGAGATATCAGTAGACACAATGTTAGACACTTTGTAGTAAAAAAAAAAATTTGAAATGAAAAGATTTTCTCTTCAAATTAGAAACTTTCCATGATCCATTCTTTTATAGGATGCAACATTTCAGTTTCAACTTTGCCTTAATCCCATGTTGCAATGTCTCTCCAGTCAAAATTGCCTCCGCAGTGAATTATTATTCTCCTTTTTTGCAAGATGGAGAAAGACAAGGCCTGCAAGAAAATTAGATAGTGATTTCTGAAGACTCCCATTACCTTGGACCAAATGGGCCCTTCTCCACGTGATTAATGCCCATATACTTTTCTCTGACAATAACATTATAAAAGTGCCATTATTGTCGTCTTTCATTGCATTGTCCTCCGACTATTTCTTACGTGAGGGATGAGAAACTTTGCTTATCCACAATAGGAAAATGGATTTTGAAAGATCGCAACCAGTGATATGAATAGCGTGCTTAAGATGATGACTAGTTTTACTGAATAAATTGCACCTGTAATAAGGGGTGTTAATAGATCTTATTATTTCATATCAAAATTTACTTAAACTTATTCGTACATAATCAAGTTTGTGTTATATGTAAGTTGTTTAGCGAGTTCGTGTATATCAACCCATTTATTTGACGGTTTTAATGAGTTTACCTATTTAATTATCACTTGAATCTATTAATACTAATCCCCAACTCCTTTAATTCCATGTTGATTTTTTATCTAGTTGGCAAATCATGTATAGAGTTATCACTCGTCAGGCATACCAAGACGCTGGTTAATAGATTTTATATTGCTTAATATAATGACTAATCATAGTTTTGGTTTCAGACTGACTTTACATTTCTATTATTATTTCGGCCACACACACACAAACACGCAGTACAAACCAAACTAGGCCATGCACGTGTTTCAGCCACAATCACCAGACTTGAGTAACTATTTTCCGTATTCTCTGTCTTCAAGCTTGGAGCAAAAAAATGTAAAAGCTTAAAAGTTCACGGTTCTATGAAGAATTTGCCCATTTTGAGGATCAAGATTCCCTTGGATACTTTTTTATTTGTCTCTAATTATGTTCTCGGCAGATTACCCACCATTAATGCATAAAGAATTCACTTACGTATAATGACTAACCAATCCCATTTGAATACATGAAAAGTGATCTGTCAAGAATATATTGGAGATAAAATACCGGGTGGGCCTATTACCATCCCTTAAATTTCTTTTTCCACCCTATTTAATCATGTAGATGGAATGAGTTTAGTGATGGGATGAGTATAGATGAGATGAATTTAATAATTTGAAATAAAAGAATTAAATGAAGTGANCGGAGGTGCACAATATGGAGGACCCCAAGGAGGAGCACAACACGGAAATGCACAATATGGAGGGCCCCACGGAGGTGCACAACATGGAGCACCCCAAGGAGCTCCACGTCCTGGACATAAAAGAGCTCCACACCTTGCACATCAAGCAACTCCACAACTTGTTGACGGAGGTGCACAACATGGAGCACCCCAAGGAGCTCCACGCCCTGCACATTAAGCAGCTCCACGCCCTGCACATCAAGCAGCTCCAAAACTTATTGCTCCCTATTTGGGCGCCCCCTTTGGAGTTCCCTTGGGTGCCCTTCATAGGGGAGCTCCCCACGGGGGACCTCCACCTCTTTTTCCAGCTCCCTTTTCTCATGGTGGGGGCTTTCTTTTCCAAGAGGACAAGGGTGAGAATCAGAGCATGGAGCATGGAAGCCATTTCTAAGATAATTTCAAAGGAGCTCCCAACCACTGGGATGAAAAAATAAAAGAGGTACAAAATCAACTAGACGACATTTTTAACACTATGAAAGCACAGAGACCCGAGACAGTGGACTGCCTCGTAAGTCGAACCAACACACCCTTCGTACCTAACGTGACGAACTACCCACTTCCCAAGAAGTTTAAAATGTCATCCGTTGAAACCTTTGACGGTACGAAGGACCTACTTGCTCACCTCGAAACTTTTAAGACCATGATGCAACTACACAGCGTCCCCGATGAAATTATGTGTAAGACATTCCCAATTACCTTGAAGGAATCAGCGCGACAATGGTTCGCCAAACTCACCCCGGCCTCCATAGGCTCCTTCGCCGAACTGAGCAGATCCTTTGTGACACAATTCATTGGTGGACGCCGCCAGCAGCAGCTTGTCATCCATCTGCTCAGCATAAAACATGATCGTAATGAGAGTCTAAGGAGTTACCTCACTCGTTTTAACGAGGAAGTCCTCCAAATCGAGGAACCCAATGACAAAGTCGCCATGACTGCCTTCCTGGGAGGCCTCTGCTCATCCAGATTCCTTTTTTCAGTAATAAAGCAACCACCAAAGAGCATGCCAGGACTATTCACAAAAGCTCAAAGATATATGAATGCTGAGAAAATCAACAAGTTTAGGCAAGGTGAATCATCACACAGATCACCAGAAACTTGACCTGCCTCTGCACTGTTCTCAACACAGACAGCATATCTCCAGCTTAGCGGCTCTCTCACGGGTCGCCAAAAAAACTTGGCCTCTGCAATGTTCTCAAACAGGCAGCCTATCTCCAGTTTAGCGGCTCTCTCACGG